GTTTCGGTTTTCTGGGACCTGAAAAATCGCTGCCACATCTCGCACCATCTCTGGGGGAAGCTTGGCCAAAGGTAGGACTTTGTCCCACACCTAACGGCGTCTAAGTCAAGAATGTAATTTAGCTCAGCACCCGGCCCAGCCCAGACTGCTCACGGACCTCCATCTCCCATGAGGGCTGCAGGGAGCCTGCCAGCGATGACCACCCACCTCTCCGCCCCTGCTCTGCCCACTGTCTCCCAGTGTCTATCCTCCGCGACCTCCTCCTTAGAGACAGGCGTTTTCCAGACTGTGTCCTCAGCCTGCAGCTCCTCGCACTCCAAACACTTTGCACTAGTCCTTTCAACCAGCAGCTCCCTGACCCTCGGTCGCAGCGGGCGTCCCTGGCCGCTGGGCTCTAGGCCTGCGCTCTCCAGAACAGGGCCAGTTGAATGAATGAAAATGAAACAAAGTGAAAAATTCCGTTCTCAGCCACTTGAGCACACTTTGAGTGTCTACCCTCTTAGACATCTCCAGCATCTCAAAGTCCTGTTGGATGGCACTGGTCTGGACCCAGGTGTCCAGCTGTCCTCCAAACACCTCCTCTTGGCTCTGTCGTGAGACCCTCGACCCCCCAGTTAGCTCACTGTCGTCTCCCCCAGTCCCCACCATCCCAGGCCCCGGCCCCTCTGTACTGTCACCAGGCCTCCGAAAGATCCCCCCTCCCCCCACCTCAGCCTCCGTCACCACTTCTTTCTCACTCTTTGCTGGTCTCCTCGCCTCCCATCTACCTTCCAAGCTGCTTCCCAGAGGCAGCTTTCAGACCTGCGCATCTGACAGCTACCCTTGGCTAAAAAGGCTTCCCGTGAAAATAAAGGGGATCTTTCACCCCAGAGCTTCACCTTCTGGCTCCTGCCTCCTCTCTGGCCCCGCCACCCCCACCCACACGTGCATCCCTCACACCAGCCCTCTGGAGTCGCTGGAAGTCCCAACACAAGTCACACAACACCGGTCCTCTGTCACCTTCCACGTTGCTGTGTCCTTCAGAGCCCAGCCTGATGCCACCTCCTCCAGGAAGTCTCCTGCTCTGGTCCCCTCACAGACCAGGAGGCCCCCATACACAGAAGCCGTGTCCCACTTCACACGTGCCTCCAGTGTCTGGTGTCTGACTCTCAGTACCGTCTGACCTCCACTCTCACTGTTGACTGTTCCCAAGCAACACAGCCATCATCCAAAGAGACTTCAAGCCCGTGTGTTCAAATCTGTCTCTAATTCAGGATGGCTTCAAGCCATGGGGTTCCAGTTCAGAATGGGAGGGGGGTAGGGTTGGCAGAGAAGGGAAGGAGGAGAGTGACCCTGGGCCCACTATTAAGTGTCATGGGAATGTCATCGGAGTCTGACAGTTAGTCCTCTTTTCCCTCAAACGCTCCTCTTACTGGGACTCAGAAAATCTACCGCTTCAAAAAGTTACAACCCACTGCCCCCATTCGCCAAAGTTACAAACCTCCTAAATGCCCTGCAGAAGCAGCCTAATCAGACAAATGGTGGTGCCTCCATGCAGCAGAATAAAATAGAGGTGGTTGGTTCAGGGTGGCAAAGTCAACTGCCTCCAGCTGTTGTAAGACAATAGGGAGAGGAGGAGATTGTGGCCAACCATGAAACACATGCTCTGTTTGAAGGCATTTAAATACATAAATAAGTAAATGGTGGGGGGGGAGGGGCAACTTTCAGCCGGTGGCGCTGAGTGACCTCTGTCAACAGATCAATATTTACTGTCTCAGAAAGATGTTCACAAAATGCTGATGAGTAGAAATACAGGTTGAAAACATGCATACACAAACACACATCCACACACACGGATCCTCCGCTGCAGAGATCTGAGGCCACCCACCTAGCTGCTAACAGCAATTATCTGTGGGTGATGAAGTTACGGATGTTTGCTATTCTCTTATTTTTGTGTCTCTGGGGTTTTCCCCTATAACAGTCACATATTTTTTCACATTAAGTCCACATTGTTTTCCACTTAGAAAAATGACAAATCAGCCCCACCCTGGAGACGAAGAGCGCATTTTGTTTATTCTGGAGAATCTGAGTCTATGCGTGGAAAAGGAGAACGGGGGAGGGGCTTGGGGCTGCTATGGCAAGTTTGTGGCTCGAGCGGACGTGTAGAATGTAAATTGCCCCAGTGCTGAAGTCCCACGTTCTTTCACAAGTGTTTATCGAGTGTCTGCTGCGTACCCGGCCCGCGGGCAGGAGTCAAGGGACACGACGGAACAAGAGGAAGATCAGCCCTCCTCTGGGGCAGCAGAACCCTGGAGTTGCCATGGCTACGGGTTAGGCTGGGAGGGTACCTAACTGGGACGCAGGCCAGCCAGAGAGAGCACGTTTTCGAGAAGTAGGCGGATTTGTTCTGCCGTTGACACACCAGTCCCTGGTGTACTTGCTACTGAAGGAGGCAGCCTGCAGCCATGAAGCAGGAGGAAACGGAACCAAACCCTTGAGCCCACCATCAGGAATTCCACTCAAGGGCCAGGCGAGCTAACCGGCCCGGGAGCAGTGCCGCCGTTTATCAGAGTGGTACCATTTCCTCCCGATGAAGCTCTGCCACCTGGTTAAGCACCTGCCACGTGCTGGGCTCGGGGCACATGCTTTATGGATGCTACTGAACTGGATCCCTACGATCACCTCGATTTCTCAGAGGAACAAATGAGCTCAGAGTGAGGAGGCCACTCACCCCAGGCCCTGCCATGGCAGGTGCTGGAGGTCAAGTGAGACTCAGGTGTGTGACGGCAAAGCTCCTTCCATTTCACCTCGAGGGGCCTCCAGGAAGATGCCAGGTAGGGCAAGCTTGTCCAGCCAAACCGCTGTCCCGCGGGCGCTCACACCTGCCAGGCAGGCGTCCACCTGCTTAGCTCACTCAGTTACAGTAGGAGCAGCGGCGGCGGCCCTGGGCCCTGAGGAGCTGATCTACCAGCCAAGCCCTTGCATTCTTCCCTTCAGCAGATCACTGGGGGCGGGGGGCTTCTCTGTGCCGGGCACGGGGGACCCACTGTCTTCATGGAAGCCGTGTGCTAAGATCTCCCGGTGCCAGGCTGCCCACCGTTGGAGTTTAATTCCTTTGGGTCTAGGCACAAAATCACCAGGAAACCCCTCCCCATCACACCTCAAAATTAGAAGGGGTGTGGAAGGTGTGGCCTGTTGAATGTGCACTTTTAGGGCCCTGTTTTTGCAGGGTAGAGAGAAATCAGCACACGGGTGAGCTCTGCA